TACAGAAAAATTTTGGATGTCAATGAACAGAAGCTCGACAGAAAAACAATATCACTATCTATAGGCAAAATTTGCTTGCTTGACAGCAGTGTTTTGTCATTCGTGTGCCTGTTGTAGTTTTTAGTGAGTAAACGCATGCTGTTTGGTCACATAAACTTTAGCGTATTTCTAATTATCAATTTTTGCATAGAACAGCTTCAACAATCCTATAGAAAAGGGAAAGATGTTGTGAATGTAAATCTATTGATCAACATACATAATTCCACTCTCGTCATTAGGATCTTCCAGTATCATGTAGGTTAAGAAATTGGCTCACAGCTACACATTTACATTGAACTCAACAAGAAAACTTTCCAAGCATCAGTATTCAGAGAGCAGAAGAACCAACTAGAGCACAAAGAAGACCGATTTGGAATTTTAGTTGAAGACCAGTCACAACATACTTGATTTAATTAGTTAGCACGTGAAATGGCCAGTCTTATACACGAATGTAATTCAGTAACCTTATGAAAGTTTTATCAAATTAAACCAGAAAATATTCGTGGTTTAAATGACAATATTCCACTATCACTATTACAAGTTTCACAGAAAAGACGCAGCCCGAGAAAACATGAAAAGAGAATTAAAAGGGCCAAAGAGAACCTCTCCAGCTTTTACAGTGATCACATGTGGTGTAAATCCAATTCCAAGTGATCCTGCAAGAAGATTTTTTATTCATTAGTCACCTTATTCCCAGGCAAAAACATAAACAAGAAAGGTAAGGTAGGTCTTTACATTCTTCATACAAAAAAAAAAAAAAGCATTTGAGAACTCTATTAATCAAAGGAGAAAAGACATCATAAGCAAGAAAATCTACATACAAAAAAGTATATAACAATGAACAGTTCGGATATCTGGCCCAATAAAAACGACTCACTCCGGATATGATTTGTTTTTAATATGCTATGCAATGAGAAATCGTAAAAAGAAAAGCCTCCAAATTCCCTGAATCAAAGAAACGAAGCATGGGGGGAAGAAGTCGAAATCTTCACAAAGCAAATTCCCCGACGTTTAAAGTCGCAAAAACCAAAACCGTAGCGTCACCTGACCTCAGTCGGTAAGCACAGGAATAACATAAGGCAAGGTCCACATAAACCAAAGCCAGAAAAATGGAAAATTGCAGAACAAGAAATGAGGGGTACGGAAGTCATTCAACATAAAAGATCTGAAGTCAGACCCCAACAACAGATCCCCCCAAGTTGCTGCAGATACCAGCTTGCTTTCCCTTATTTAAAGACGGATCCTAGTGAAATGGTATCCACAGACACACGCAAATGCACAGCATCACGTATCAACACCGACCAATCAGCCGTTTGGTTAGCCAATCAGAAACCCAAGTTGGAAACCAGGAGAATTAGCACAAAAGAGAGAGGCCAAAAAGACTTCAGATAAGCCGAACGAGCACCACCAGACCAGACACCACCTTTTTCTCAAGAAATTGCAAAAGTCACAAACCCAGATCCCAGAAAGGTTTCAACACCCACATAGACCCGTGAAAACGCATCGCATGTTTTCCATTTACCTAGAGTCTCCAGCTGCCGTTTCTTGTTGCTAGAACCAGGAGGCCTCCCTCTCTTCTTGAACGAATTCGGGGAAGCAGGCCCCGATCCGCCGCCCGCCGACGTCGGGGGAGCCACTGCGGAAACCGGGTGGGGCGAGGAGAACCCCCCACCGGGCGGCGCCACCGTGCTCGCCGGGGCCGCCGGCGTGAGGCCCAATGCAATCGTGCCGTCCGGCCCATACTTTCTGGGCCTTCCTCTCTTCTTCTTCGCTGGCTCCGCGCCAACATTCATGTTGATCCCGTGGGGCAGCCCGGCGGCAGGACCGCCTCCGTCCGTCGAGGCGGCCTCCGCCGCGGCGCCGCCGCCGCCGTTCCCTGCGGCAGAGTGGGGCTTGTAGGAGGGCGGCGCGGCAGCGGCGGGCTTGTAGACAGCTGTCCCGTCGGGGCTGAAGGCCAAGCGCATGTTCTGCACCACCGGCTGCGACGGCAGCGAAGCCTTCTGGAGACCTACCGGGAAGGGGTCTCCTCTGCTCGCCATCACTCCTGTCTCAGATCCTGACATTTTTTGCCCTTCTGGGTCTACTTAAATCTCCATAAAAACCCCTGCAAAAGATCTTCCGACGAGATCAGCGACGGAAAACACCGAACCTTCGAAGCTCAACTCCTCAAAGCTCGAAAATTTAGCAGCATGGCAGCGAGAGAAAAGGTAATTCTTGACGAAGACAGCTTTGCGAACAAGAATTGGCATGTCTTGCTCGGTAACCAAAAACCCTTCACTGAACATACCGGCCACAAAAACAACAAAAAAAAAGAGAAGACTTTCACCGACAAACAACCGCGGCAAAGATCAAAATTTGGGAATTATCTAAGCCCTAAAACCTCAGAATTCCTAGATTTCGAGCCAGAAATCCCTCGCGAAAATCCGCAGCAAAAAAGTCACAATTTACTGCGAATTATCCCCAGAAATTACCCGGCGTGTTTCCCGACTCCACCGGGAAAGGCCAAACCCGAGCGATTTTCCGACATTGAGCAGTAGATCGTGCGAGAAATTCCGGCGAAAAAATCGACAAAAAACGGGGGAAAAGAAAACAAAATTCCCGGAAAATAATTAATTTTTACGGAAATTAAGGCCCAAAAATGCCGGAAATTACACGGTCAAAAGGAAAATAATCGGGAAAAAACACCAAAAAAACCGCGAGAAACTTACCAATAAGTTGGGGGGCCAAAAAAACACAAAAAAAAACAACAAAAGGGGCAGGGAGCGGGAGCCGGAGGGGAAGCCAAAATCCCTAGGGTTAGAGAGTGGGAGGTGGGAAAGCAAGACGGGGGTCGCCAATGCTTTTTCGTTTAAAGAAATGCGAGAATTCGAGATATTTAGGCACATTATTATTCTTTTCGATTTTTTTTAAAAAAAATTAATTGGAAAAAAGAAAATTTCCGGGTTTTTTCCCCTTTTCTTGCCCCTCCCTCCCCGCTCGCGGTCTTTATCGGAAAAAAAAAAAAGGCAGGGCCTGATTTTGCTTTCCTCCCCCCACCCCCAAAAAAAAGAAAAAGGAAAATAATTATTATTATTTTATTTTTTTCTCCTCTTTCTAACGCTCGAGTCACAAAGTAAGGACGACTCGTGCCGAGGAGGAGCAGCAGCAGCAGCTGCAGGAAAAACACATCGAAGAAGAACGAAAGAAACGAGGTAACTGTCGAGATGCAGAGGGGAGCGGGGGGAGGGGAGGAGGGCATACGGAGGACGAGACGGTGGGCCCCACTCGAGGCGGTGGCAGTGTCGTAATTCTCGCGTTTTCCTTCCCTCTTTCGTTTGTTGTTTTTTTTTCTTTTTTGGGTCCGTTGCTTTTCGTTGCTTTTCCTAAAGCTTTTTTCCCCCTTTCCATTTATTCATTCATTCATTCATTTATTTATGAAGGGCCGTTGATTATCCTCATCAGAAAGCGCTTTTTGCTGAGGAGCCCCCTCTCTCCCTCTCTTCCAAAATCGGCACAGTTGCAAAAATCAGGTGGTCAGTCCACCTCCCTTCTTTTGGGGGGGGGGGGGGGCTAATTAATCCATCGGATCACCTAATTAATTTGAGTTTAGGATAAGTAGATTAAAAGTCTTAAAACTTATCGTGAAAGTGCAATTGAGTCTTAAAAATTTCAAAATATTACGATTAAATTCTAAAACTTGTCAAATTGATCCGATCAGGTATTTCCATTTCGAAAATTTTAAGATTTGATTGCACGTTTATGACAAGTTTTGAGACTTGATAATTTTGAAACTCAATTTCACTTTTATAATAATTTTTTAAATTTTAATTGCGCTTGCCGAAAATTTTAATGCATAATTTCATTTTCATGATAAATTTTAAAACTTTTAATGTCGCTCGTTCCTTTGAGTTTTAAGGCTAAAATTTCAGGAGAAATCCTGGAAGTAGTTCGGAGGTTTGGGTCATCGGCCGAGGATTCGAGAGAACGCCCACCGTGTGGGGGCCCCCCCTGTTGAATTTTTGTTTCGGTGGGCCCCAAAAATATTGGGCTGTGCAGATGAATTTTAGGGCTCGGTAGAAACAAATCTCTTGACGTGCCACATAAACTTTGTAGATTCTCTCGAACAGGAAAAGATGCTTATGCTGCGATCGATTTAGCAAAAAAAAAAAATTTGAAAAAAAATAATCCAAAAAAATCATAAAACCTGTTATATAAAAAGGATTAAAATTTAATTAGTAAAATTAAAATATTTAGGACTGAATTATCAAATACACAATAGGTTTAAGGCTTTTTAGATAATTTTTATATTATAATTGTTATTCTATTCAAGAAATGATTTGTATTTCTATGTAAATATTAGTAATTATTATATGATCCGTTTTATCTCTAACCCTTTTAACTTTTTCTCTACCTAGGAGTTGAATCGCACACTTATGATACTAATGTTCTCATCCCCAAATCCCTTTACCAACAGAGCCGCATGCCTATTGGCAAATATTGAAAATTGCCCGGTGATAAAATCGCCGTTGTAGGATAGAGCGGGCTTAAAGCATGCGTGGATATTTTCCTTCATCAGATGATATGTTATATGGATATCATCTGGATGTCAATGAGTAAATAATGTGTATAGGGTGCGTTAGTCATGGGAATCAAATCGTTGCACGTATAGTGACATCAATTACGTTCTTGTAAAAATATTTACATACCGTGTATTTGTATGGTGTCGATTATTAGCTAGAAATCTCAAAAGGTGGTTTTTCTTTCAAAATCGAACCTTCTATCTCATCATCCTCGGACGGAATGGAATACAAGCCTGAAATCGCTTGTACCCGCGACTCTTGTTAGACGAATTGCACGAGAATGCGCGACCGATAATCCGCTTCCGTAACGACTCATTTCCTTCCTCATCCCCATGCTCGCACGAGTGACCGAGTATCTTCCATTGCTTTACAATCTCACCCTCACGCTCTATTGTACTGATATGCACATTGACATGGATAATCATAGAGAACATAAACGAATACAGGCAGAGCTGAAGATAATTTGTGGCAAGAAGACTGTAGCAAATCAAGGCCAGATAATCATTTTTAGCTTCGAAACACCTGAAGCTCTTGTCGGGCTTCTTAGAGCAATGCTTTCAGCTTCCATGAAATTCCTACCTCTATCGATGCGTGGTGCAAAGAATCGAACTTACCGAAAGTACAACAATGCATGACACTTGTACAGATTTATACGTCCATCGGCTGCAAGAAAACCACTTCCAGCATCCATGGATCCCATGCGCACCCGCTATGATACCGGTGAGCACGAGCAGTCGTGAAGAGTAAGGTACCGTGAAGGAAGAGCGATGTGCTGTCTTCCGTGCTCCTCCATAAGGAGCTCAAACTACTTCGACATTGGATTTCTAATGACGATGACTTGACTTTGACCTGAGCGGTGCATCAGAAAGCCAGAAAACCATGAAACCAAGTTTTGCAAGCTCGAATTATAGCAATGCTAAAGAATGAGTGAGCTAGAAAAGATCAGCCATTGATAAGTCAGGTAATGCAAGCATGACTCGCCTTTCCTCGTGTTAATATCAGTTTCAGTACATGGGCCACCATGTTGAATGACCAAAAAACTTCAAACGTAAAAATGGGTTATGGTTTCATCCACCGAGTGACCGTCTATAAATAATTCCGACCAAGCTCTAAGTTTTAATCGATTTTTTATTTCAGGTAAGGATTGAAATAATGACTAACAAACCATACATTGGGAGGGAGGGACTACAAGATTCAGGTGAAAAGTTTAGACTGAGGTGAGAAGTTCTGATATTTGGATCCTCCAAAAGGAAGAGAACAAACTATTTTGAAGTTGAGAACTTGCAAGATGCTTATTCAATGCTTCATCAATGCGTGAACAGGAAGATGAAACATAACTTGATTCAAATGCACATATAAGCATGTCATGAACTGTACCTCTAGAATGCGACATTGATAATATGCAAGGCTAAATCGAATTCACCACTGTAAGTTCTGGTTCTGCTGCTTCCTGTCTCGTCTGAACCAGAAGACACCTGCAAATCCTTTAGGAAAATACAAGCATGTGGGCATAGAACTCCTAAAGTATCATATTCCTTGACTTGAAAAGATTGCTCACCTTTGCCGATCCCTCAGCCAACTGTCTGATTCTCAAGACCACTGCCTTGCGGAGTAGGAGTGGGCACTAAAAATGGTGGCCGTGCATGAATAGGTGCAGGAATACCTGGCAAAACAATTACAGTTGGTTTTTAGGACTATGCATGTGCTATCTTTTCCATACTCATAGTGCTTTCTCTAGCAACAGGAATTCAGCTCTGAGAGCAGCATTCTTTGAACCCCACTTCATTGACACCTCTTGTCATGGAAAATCTATTACTTCTACCGTTTCTTCAACCTTCTGTATTTCATCACAGACCTAACATGACATTATAGCCAATTACTGTTGTTTTATTGACCAAAAAAAAATTACTGCTGTCTTCTTTTTTCGCCCAAAAAACCACTTAGTGTCCATAAGAACATCATTTTACAATTACCTGTTATAGAATTTAATGTCAAGACGATTCCAACTTGACGACTGACAAAGAACAATTTTCTGACAGAATCCTTACCCGCTGGGTATGATGCTTGTATAATTGCCGGCGCGGGTGAAGTTGGTACTGCATATACACTGGGTCCAGCGTACTGCACAATCTGATGGCCCGGTATAGCATAGCTCTGAATTGTTATATAACCATGACCACCAGGAACTACTGGACCACAATGTGCATAAGGGTTAACAGTTGCATTAACTGGCCTAGGATCTCCATATATCTGAAGGTACTGCTGACCCATGTAAGGGTTGTAAACACCCTAAGAGCATATATAGAAAAAACATTGAAACAGGACCACATGAGCTCGGCAACAGGAAGAAGATACAACCATACAACAGAATTCTTCCAAACCCTATAGCAAAACAAATTTGAATCTGGATTTCTGATAATGGGAAGTCCCTTACCGGTTGCATGATGTATTCAGGCCCATATGTTGTATATCTGCATACACGCCACCAGAATTAAGTAGTTCAATGATTATTAAAGCATCCTTGTTACAGACAGGATATCTAGAATGAAGATCCCTATGCTCACAAAACTAAATGAACAGAATCATGAACCAAAAAGTCACATTCCCCTTACCAATGACCTCAAAACTTCAGCCAAAAGTCAAAATCAACCAAATGAAACGATCACAAAAGAGGAATTTATGTTCCAAAAACACAACAAACAAATGTTTTCATTCCGATGCCACAATTTGACTTGGTCAAATCAAAATTAACACTCTTCAACAATCTTTCCTTGAGATGGGAAAGTGAGAGCAATCCATGTGATTCCTCCGTTCCATTACATCGAAAAAAAGGCAATCTCAAAGAGGCTCAAGTCAACTTTTCATTGTGAATGATGTACGAATAGAAAGAACTGTATAAAACATATAGACATAAGATATCACCAAGTTACAATTCTGCCAACTCTAAAGTACATCTTCAAGTTAAGACAGGCATAAGAGGAACTAACGATAAAAGTAGCAGATGAAGTTATTTGACGAAGTTATGAAACGGAGAAATTCCATAAGACTATCGAAATGTTAAGGTTTTTCTCTTATCACAAAGCACAGATCAGGCTTCTTGCCTCTTCAACAAACATTGAGCCAGATCATATATCCTCAGCAACTACCAGTTTTTGCATTCCTGCAATTACCAATCACACTGCGTCACAATGATGCAGTTTGGATAAACAACCCTGTATCTAAGGAACCAAGAGCAATTCCCAAAGCATTTAAAGCTCCTACGTAAGGCTGCATTCTGTGATCGGTAAATGCAAGAATTGCATGAACAAACAAGAAACTGATAAAACGTTGTAGCTGCAAAAAATACATGCCCCATCTAATAACCAATAGAAGCTTTTCCATAACAAACTAAAGACACTATAATATTACAATAATTTTCCTTTTAAGTTTGATGATGCACTATAAAGACTATTTTCGTTTTTGTAAATAAAAGGCATTCCAATACTTTTTTGCTGACCGAAAAACAAGCCTAGCATCTCTGCTTCAGTAGATAAGCGCGCGGTATATAAGCTAGTCTTTGTTTCAGTGTAAACTAACGATCCCGACATAGAAAGAGAAAAAATATGTGTTGTCATTCAGAAAATCAGACATGCACCAACATATCATTGTCACAATTCCAATAGGAGGAGAATGTGATGCAATCAAATAAGGTCACATGCAAACACTAACTTCCCCAGATTTCAACATCCTGACCCAGATGAAGGAAGCCTCCAAGTGAAGCCCCAGAAAAACAGCATGTGGCATGGAGAACTCACCCATGACAAGGGTATACATGTCCTTGTTGGAAGCTGTAGGAAACGGGTTGGTGGTAGCCAAAACTTCCAAGATCAGTTCCTCTGGTTGCATGCACACCTCCACCATACACCGTCGCTGGTCTCAAATGTCCTAGAAATAGACACAGTATGATTAATAAGGATTCATATACTAACAGAAAAGGCAACCCATTAGTTAAATACAGAAAGAAAGCGATTTATCCGACTTTCTGTAGCCGTCATCAAATTGTGAAGACCCCTCCCCCCCAAAAAAAAAAACAAATAAATAAATAAAACCAACAAGAACTTTGTAGCATTAAGAATGCCTAGAAGAAGTTTGCTTGTAATGGAATTACTCACTTCTAGAACCTAAATCACATAAAGGGAGAACAAGCGTGTTGGCAGAAATCTCAATTATCTCTCAAGCAGAAGTCTGCAACTAAAAGAATAGCAACCAGCTCTCTTCCAATGGAACGAAGAGACTATGGATCAAGATTTCAAAAAGCCGGAGAACCCCGAGTCAATGTACTTGCATGCTAATTCAGAGCTTCAGAATGACAAGCCGTGGGAAAGACAAATACCATAAAAGAGAGGCAGTTGAGGCCGTCCTAGAGATGCCAAATTGCAGTTTGTCCGCCTGCCATCGATAACCGGAGTCGGATCAGCACATGCTCTCCTGGCACTGTCAGGATCTCGGAAAGTCACCTACACCCTCCAGAGGGAAAACGAACAGAAACCTAGTCATTCCCCTATTCAGATGAATTCAAAACAAAGGCAAGAAAAAAAGCATGTCCGTGGCCATAAAGATTCAGGTCCGCAGTTCACAGAATGGAAACTAGCGCGATGGGCGTTCTCATGGCACCCATTAACGTGCAGCAATCCACAGAGACAGTCCATGAGCAAAACAAAAAAAAAAAATCCGCTGAGACAGTCGTTACCGGACTTCCTTTCGAAACTTCCCGAGGAAATACTAATTCCAAGGAATCCAAGCACCAAACTTATCCCCCTTTTCAAAGCAATGAACTGAGTGCGCCTTCAAATGATAGACAGGCCGTACTAAGATTCATTTACTTCATGTGAAGGCTTATTCAATCAGATACCAAAATAAACAGATCGACATATCACGAAAGCAAGAGAAATGAATCACTCACAAAGCCGTAGCCTTTGGATCGCCCACTGTTCTTATCAGTGATCACAACAGCCTCCAAAATCTCACCAAACTGCTCGAAATGCCTGCGCAACGTCCCGCTCCGCGTCTCCCAAGCTAAACCCCCGATGAACACCTTCGTGTAGGTGGTATCTCCGAAGGGAGAGTACACAAACTCGAGCTGAACACCACTCGGAACCGGCTGATACGCCATGAGCAATCGAACGAACGGTATATACTGCGAAACAGAGCAAGGGAAAAAGAAAAGAAACGAAAAGGTCCCAAACGAAAAAGATTCTGGGAAAAATGCGAATTTGCAAGTTGAGAAGAACTAAGCTCGTTGAATCTTGGAGAACAAAAAATAAAAAGAGCGTCTTATATTCGTCAAGGGTTGATGAGAAACATCAACATGTTTATACAGAGAGGCGAAGGAAAGAAAAGGGTATGAGAATTATGGTGAGTGGGAGATGGTAAAAGAGCGAATGAGAGAGAAGGAATCATGTCATAACTAAAAGGAGAAAGCCGGCTATGGAAAAAGCGGGAGATGGAAGAGCTGAGGTCGGTGGTGGATTTGGACGTGCACGGAGGCTGGTGGGGCAGGGCTGCGTGCAAAAGTCGGTCGAGCCTCTGAAATAATGCATGTATGGTACTACCCCATGGACAAAAATCAATCCCTTAATCATCGAAATAAATGCGTGACGACGTGTGCTTTCTCGGATGACGACTTGGGACTGTTGTTTTATGATGGTCGACTTGAGCTCATCAAATCTGCCATGTACAGCATCACAAGTTACTGTTGCGAAACTTTTGTCCTCCTTAAGAAGTTATGTAATTGATTGAGCAGACATGCAGGGGTTTCCTGTGGAATGATCAGCCTAAAAATGCAGGGGGAAGCATAAGTTTCTTGGGGTGCTCTATGAGGTTACTAATGCAATCTGGGTTGCTTTGGGTAGATGTTATCAGTTTCAAAATGTTTCCTTTTGGATAATTCTATCTCAAGGAGAAAGCACGTATGCTTGGAGGAAATTACTCGATGCAAAACCTTTCTTACAACGGCACATTAAATATGTGATTGGTAATAGCAATTCCTTGTAGTATGACACCTGCACCCTCTGTAGTATCTATTGTCTTCCCTCATAGGGTCATATATGACTGGTTTGGGCATTCATGCAAGAGTTTGTTCAGTTCTAAGGGGGAATGAGTGGCATTGGCCACTTGCTTGATTTGATACGTTTGTTGATATTCTGATTGGTTTATACAATGTTAATATACCTTGCTCTGAAGCTGAGGATTGTGTGGTGTTTACGGGACTTCTTGTGGTGATTTCTCTTCCACTGATTGCTGGAATCCAGTTATGATGAAAAAGCAGAAGGTTCCTTGGTATAATTTGCTGTGGTTTTACAAATTTACCAATTTTGGCTTTATAGTCTAGTGGACTATCTCATGTAGACGGGAAACTCTTAATAGGGTTAAAAGTGGAAGTTGGTGAATGGCACTTGTGTTTCTTTCGGCTTGGCTCCTGAATCAAGATCTCCTTTGTCCTTTGATCGTTCCTTTACGAAGATAGTCTGGAATCATTTTCTTTGTCTTGTTGGTGTTCATCGTGTTATTGTAGTTTGGAATACGGGGTTGGACTGGGCAGTGATGTATCTGAAAGGCAATTCCTTCGCTGAGAAGTTGTTGAAATCGGGCGTGAACGAGGTTATGTGCTTCACTTGGAGAGAGAGAGCGAGGAATGCAATTATCCATGATAATGATGCTCCCCAATTTAATAGGGTGTTGTATAGCACTATCTTTGCTGTCAGTGTGAAGATGTCCATGTTGATTCGAGGCAAAAGCTGGAGTTTGGATCCATCTGTCAAAGCCCCTTTTGCAGCTTGGGCTATTAAAGCTTTGTAAATGTTGTTATTTTTTAATGAGAAATGCTTATATAACCGTCCTAAATCTACTACGAGAATAACAGTTTTGAGATACAAATAAATAAATAACAAATATTTAAAAAATGTTGTTGGGTCCACTCCTTCAAGAATTTGTGGGCTATTAGAATAACAGTAGTCCAAAAACTGTTATGCTAGCAAAGCTCTTTTCTTTTACTGGTTACTTGATTTGTTAGTTCTGTAATGTTTCAGCTGAGTTGCTAATTCTGGGTTTGTATGGGACTTTCCCAGATTTGGGCTAATAAAGGTAACTAATTTAACAACATAAAATAAAATAAATATGTGCTCAAGCTGCATTTTTACGAGCATCAGAAGAAGATACGTAGGAGATGTACTTACGTGAAACTGAATCTTATGTGCATCACATCCATGACTGAACTGTGTTGAGAATTGGTGCCTAATCTAATCTGATGTTGGTGTGATAATGAAGGAGTTGGGTGACCCCCACATCATCCATTTTAAATGCATCCACATGTTTTTATGATGCAGTCCATTATGATAAGCCCCACTCAATTGACTACACGACAGCCTTTGCATAGTGGATGCACTTAAAAAGACCGGTGATTCAGAGATTGCATTACTCTCTGACCACCTTTTCTTTTGTTTTTGCCAAACTTTGCTCCAAAAGTACAAGCGTCTATAATACTAAAAACATGGTGTGTTAAATGGTCAATCTTGCTTCGTCATTTCACGCTGAAGTCTCAAGTTGTCTGGTTTTCTTTGTGAATTTGAGGACTTAATTTGACACGCTATACTACAGTTGCATAAGTTAGTTACTGAAGCACTTTATTGGGGGATAAGATTGACCACAACATCGCATCCAAACCCAGCGTTTGAGATTGATGCATGAGCAGGCTGCTACATGGGTTTCACAGGTTCTAGTTATTTGATTGATCTTGTGTATTTCATTTGCCGATATCTCTGTTTGTCCCATGTTTGTGTTATCAATCACGTCATCAAAATCGTACCAGAATAATCGAGAAAGCATCTCCTTTCTTGACGGGCATGATGCAGATTGTGGCATCAGAAGTGGCTTCATCCACTGGACTGGAAGTGTTCCGTTCGAAGGGCCGAGCCAATCTTGAGTAATCTGACTGGCCAGTAGCAACAAGTCCTCACCGTGTCCTGTCCTTGGCTTTTTGGTGTCCTCGGTAATGCTCCGTGATCATGTGCAATTAACTCCTCACTCAAACCATCTACTCAATTTATCTAGTTCTCTGATTGATTGTTCAGTTCGTTCAAGAAGGCAGCAGCAACAACACTTTTTATATATTCAAGTTAAATCGACAAGCAATTCATCAGCCGATTACAGAAACTAATGGGAGCCTGCTTCCAAACTTGTCCAGATGCACATGAACTACTTCACTCGAAGATCCTTTATTCTATAGGAGGAAGTAACCCGCGACCCTCAGCTCGACGTCTATCGGGCCTGGTGACTGAAGGTGTTCCGTATTCATGAAGCACCCACGAAGCTCTGAGAAATAATTCAGCTGATCAGTAGGAAACGTGAAGGTTGCTATAATTGACAAGTTCCCAATGTACCTTATTTGGGGCCCAATTGGATGGAAGCAGGAATGTTTTTGCAGAGGGCACCTTTTTCTTCATAATTCTTGACGGTGTCAACGATCGTCTCTTCAAATGACCTATACTTCCACCCCAGATTCTGCAACTTCTCCGAGCTGAGCTTCAAATGCGACTCCGCCTCTTTGAAACTTCATCACCCAGAAATTCACGGAATAATTTCAATTTAGAGTGCACAAAAGTAGGAAAAACGTCTAAGTTAACTCATGATTTAAGTGCCATGATAGGCACGCATAAAATCTCCATGTGTTCATAGAGGCATCAATCATATACCAAAAGAATATTTAACGGACCCCAGATTATTGATATGTACAGTTAGGTATTCATTTACCTTTTAGGATAGCTGTAATCTGGATAGAATCTCTTCAACATTTGCACCAGATCTTGAGTGTGAATTTCATAAGATGAACATATATATCTTCCCTCTGCCTTAGGCTTCTTGTATGCCAGCAAGATGGCTTCAGCCAAATCGCGCACGTCCACAAAAGCACGAACTCCGTTATCTGCTGGTTCAGAACTCTCTATTTTGGCAACACAGAAGTATGAGGTGAGGCTCATGGTTATAGATGAGAGACAAGAACAAGACATTTCGGAGCAAATTAACTGCCAAGATTGGGAAAAAAATCACTCTCAGGATACATCAAATGCGTATTTGCGGATTCAGAAATGCAGTACTGATGGAAACCTTTCAAGAAATTGAGGAGATATAAGCTGCTGGAATTCCAGGTGGACTGCAGCATAGGTCCAATGACAAGCGAGGGGCAAACAGTTAAGATATTGAGCTTGGTCCTCTTTGCAAAATCCAAAGCTTCAGATTCCGCTATAGTCTTGGCAATACAATACCAGTGCTGAAATTCATAGGACATGTCAGGTCATCAAGTAAACTGAAGAACCAGATAATCCGCTAATCCCTCTAAGAGTAATGCTACAGGTATAAAACAATGCAAAGACTAGTATACAAAACGAAAGGATATTAATCTAGGATAGACCCTTTACCTCAATACTCTTGCAGCGTTCTGTGTCGGTCCAGCATCTTTCATCCATGACCTGATCCTTTGGCCAATTCGGATTCACCATGACAGCTCCGATTGACGACACAACAACAACTTTCTTCACATTCGCCTTCAAACAAGCATTTAGCACATTTCTCGTGCCCGTTATAGCTGGCTCCATCAGTTCTACCTATACAAAATTTGACTCGGAGTGAGAACACGAACCTTCATACCATACTCCGCAGAAAACATCAAAGAGAATTGGTGCAAATATCTCCAGATTCATAATATCATCAATCCAGAGCATCTTTGCTGAACTTGCCTCTGGATTTTGTACTTTTCCAACTGGCACGGGACTGGCCACGTGCAAAACGCCCGTGCACCCAGTAATGGCAGCACAAAGACCTTCATAGTTCAACAAGTCGGTCGCGAAAAGATGCAGACTTTCTTGAGCATTCTCCAATTCTTTCAAATGAGCATTCTTTTGATCAGCTGAAATGGATCATAGTGGAAAGATATATGACTGTCAATACCGATAGAGGTCATCGAGAGAACCACCATAATACATACCTAGTACTTAGCCTTGAGGACAGAGTGACATACGAGTACATACGACAATTGACAAAAATAAGGATGGCAAATTGAGATGAAGATGCACGTACAGGGGTCTCTAACAGTGCCATGGACCTTGTAACCCTTGGAAAGAAGAAACTTCACAACCCATGAAGCCACATAACCTCCTGCACCTGTCACACAAATTCTTTCCCTCTTACTCATCTCTTCCATATCTCCGTCTTACAGTTCAATCAAAGCCGTTTGAGCCCTATATATTCGTCATGCCGCCTGCTATGCTCATGCAGGACACGTAGAACGAGACAATCTCCCAAGCTTTGTCGGCAAGGACACCCTTTTGTCACTTTTTTTTAAAGTTCTGCTTTTTTCATCCTTTTTGTTTCGTATTGCAATGGAGTGATATTCTACCATGGACCAAGCTCACCTCTAACGTGGTTAAAGGTAGGTCATCCGCGTTGAGAACATGACTTTAGACAAACTATTGGACGAGAAATCTCGTGTATCTTTGCAGGCAAAGCTCTAATCGCCTAACTAGCTTGATCGAACCCCTTAGTTACCAAAACTTTATAGTTTTAAGATCGAATTCCTAAGTACTATTAGAAAATAGATGAAGAAGGATTTTCTTCTACGAGTATTAGGGAACCATTGGCAGCGTCGTCGGACTTTTCGAGGATGCATTGCTATAAACTACAGCATAGTTCAGTAAAAAAATTGGACTTTTTTGTTTTGGCAATTGACAGATAATTCCCATTGGTTTTATCCAACTTTCACTCGTTCGGTGGTCCCTCAGCTTGTCAACATGCTGTTACCCTGTTATGCAATGGCCGCTCTAAGGAGTTCTCTCACGAGATCACTGCACGATGAGAGAATTTGACATGAGAAAAAAATATGCATTTATTTCTGAACGGTCCAGATCATCCCGTCTTTATTTCAGCTCCAACTTTATAACAAGCCTGAACGACAATGGCGACCTCTATGCCACAATAAAACAATGTCTGTGTGTTATTGACGGAATACAATGTTCTCATTGACGACAATCAAGCAATCATCAATGCCGGGGCAGAAACTAACCCAACGACAGAACTACTTTATTTCCAATAGTCCAGACACATGGTAGCTTTCCACTGAATCAACTAGAGTTTCCTCCAATGGCCTATTAGTCCAACCGAGCCTCCGTAACTTCTCTGAGCTGATAGTAATCCCTCCTTCAGTCTCAGTAAAGCTGCCAATTAACATGCACGCATTCATGATTCGTCCCATGTATAGATTATAAACCAAGAAGAAAAATGCCTGATTTAGTTCATGTGGTTGTACTTCTTTTCTTTATTCCTTGATCGGATATGAAAAGAACGGGAAACGGAGAACAGGTAGATCCAAGATCATTTCGACAGCATAATTCAGAGGGAAGTCGAAGCTTACCTATGGGGATAAGTGTAGTTAGGATACAGACTCTTCAGATTTTCCACCAAGTCCTGTGGCTTAATGCAGTAAGATGTGCATATATATCGTCCTTCGGCCTCAGGTTTCTCATATGCCAAAAGTACAGCTGCAGCGACATCACGAACGTCCACTATATTCCTAACCCTGTTTGGCACTGACTCCTGCCCTCCTGTTATTACATCGCATAAAAGATTGCTAGCAGAATTAGGTCCGTCAATGTTAGAACGCCACAAAGACAAATGTACAGCCTGAGTCATTTTCTCCCGATTTTGAAGGGTAAGAAAAGTGCATCCAAATGCAGTATAATTCAGAAACACAAATGATTTCCCAGCACTCCGGACATATGTGAAATTGTGTCAGATTGAAAGGAAAACCCCACAACATAAAATGTTCTGGAGAGGACACACGCTTATGTCTCTTTTCAAATAGGAAATCTTAAAAAGGTCTTGTCAATGATTGCCCCTGTAGCACTTGTTAAATGTATTTCATTTGGAATGCTTCAATTTTCAAAGTTTTGATTGTGAATAACACGATGACAGTAGTGCATTCGAAACTGTATAGTTTCCTGTATTGGCTATTTAATAGGTGCCCCTAGGATACTCGTTAACAAAATCCATCTTAAATTAAAACGTCCACAACTTTATTTCTAAACTATTCATGGTTTACAGCAGATCTGAAGGTAGTGGCAATGAATAACTACATATTACAAGCTTCACACCTTTCATTAGATTTAAGAGGACCCTTGTGCTTGCATTGAGTGTTGACTGCAGAATTGGGCCAAATATGAGACTGGGACACACCGATACAACGTCGAGCCCATTTCTTTTTGCATATTCTGAAGCTTCGCTTTCTGCTTCAGTTTTTGAAAGGCAATACCAGTTCTGTGGCAAGAAGAGGGTATATTCAGGAGGGAATGAAGGAACTTACAACAAAGAATCAGTGCATGCTTTTCTTAGATACGGAAGTATAATTGCTCTATAGAGATAAGCTGATGGATAGCCAACTATGGAAAGGCAACACAAACTAAATTGCAGCTTCGTAATATATTTATTCATTTGCCAAAGAAGCTGTATGAAACTTGACAGAAACTTTACGCAATATCAGAGGAATTTTTACAAGTCTGTAGTAAGTATTATCCTTTAAATACAGGTGTTCTAACTATCTTGCTAAGACTTGCTAATTAGTTTTATGTCGTCAATCCTATTATTTAGAGAAAGAATTGGACTCATGGCAAAACGGCAATGATTAAGAATGTCGACACTGCCCCAGAAGGCTACAGTATATATTTCACCAGATTAAATTCATAAGCAGATCACCTCAGTCCTGCGACAGTACTCCTTGTCAGACCAAGACAACTCATCCATCACTTGACCATTTGGCCAACTTGGGTTCAACATCAATGCAGCAACCGAGGACACATATACAACTCGCTTAACTTTCGCTTCAGAACATGCCTTCAGTACATTAAGTGTTCCCTTAACTGCAGGTGCAAGCAGCTCTGCCTGCAAAAAGTTTATTCAAAAATAGAGGAGACGGAGACTACAAGCATTGAAAAATTCGCCGATCATATCAAGTATCAACTCCCTAGCCATGAGAGGCAGATCTGCAAGAACTAATGACTTTCACCAAGACCTTGTTTTTCAGCCTGTCAGTTTCATTTTGATGACTGGTCCGGATTATATCTCAAACCTTCTGCTTCTTAAGAAGTCAATCAAGTTTGACATGATCCAATCTTCAAATATTCTCTCACATTGATATAGTTCCACAGGACTAAGAAGAGGCATTTTATTTGCATGTATAGAACCATCATATTTAATTAGACAATGGGTCCAAGAAAGGACAACGGCGAATGGTAATTTCAGTTTTCACAAGCAGTGTTAAAAAGCTACCACGTACACATCTGAATAGTATATATTCATTCTTTTAGATTCAAATGCATGCACATCAACATCTAAACACTGCTTGTGGAAATAAATCTTTTGGATTTGACATAGTCACAAAGCTATATGACGGAGAAACTCTTGCCTCAGGATTTGACACAGAGGAGGGAGGGACTGGACAAGCAACATGGAGAACCCCACAACATCCTTCAATTGCCGAGCGGAGAGAATTGTAATCAAGTAAATCCGCCTTGAAGAGTCTCAATTTCTCAGATGCTTTATCTAGTTTCTTCAAGTGAGCATACTTTGCATCACCTGCACAGAGAAAGTTACCAGTTTAGTCCCTAGATTAAAAGACCGCAGGTTTTATTGTTCTATACTGGGCCTAGATAGAGGTACCGTGGCTATTAGTTGCTTTTCCCAACCCCATCCATAAAATCAAGCCTCCCAACAGACAAATTTTGTAGCCAAAACCATTTCTCAAAGTGGCAATATTCTGTTGCTCTTTAATGACCCAAACTTTCAATTTAATCTTGTGACAATATGCAAAGATTCAATTTCCTAGCATCACAAATAGCAAAATTTCATTTGAAATGGAGACAGCCCCATTGATTGATTATACTTAGAAGGGAAAAGACGAGGAAAGGGAAAAAATAGAGAGAGCTTCAGTTGCTTGGATGCTGTCGAAAGGAAAACATGGTTATTTGACTGGAAAAACATGCCTCACCCTACCCCCATTTTCAAGAGAATGTTGTTCGGCTCTGCTCAGGTAGGAACTACCCAACTCCTGCCCTATTCGCAGTGATTTTGTCAACGGTTGGTTTGGTTGAGTGAGCACTTGGTTTGGATGCGGGAGCGGACCAAGATGGATCTATGATAAGATAATTTATTTACATCGGAATTGTATACAAAGTCAACAGATCTCAATGAAGACGAAATAGAATCTATGGCACGCAAACCGTTGAGGGTAGATCTAGATCTTGACTAAGACGAACTATTGTAGGGGATTTATTGATAGCATTGAATTCAAAATATGGTAAAGTAGCTCCTGGATGGAAAAGTACTCCTTTGATGGGTGTCGCAATGGCTCTATGTGCAGTACTCCTGCCTGTTATTTTAGAAATTTATAATCCTTCCGTTTTACAGGACGGAATTTCAATGAATTAGATTGACAAGAAACGCCGGGTGGCAGATGCCGTGTGTTGGACCCGGCATCTCCCACTCGAAATAACCTAAGAGATGGTCCTTGGCCGATGCTCGTAAAGCGGGTAGATATAAAAGAAAAAGGTAACATCCCTCCTATCTGCATTCATATCCTTCTAGGTGAACTACCCAAACAAACGAAACATTTCCGGTTCTAACCAATCTTCGCCCACTTCCCTCCACCTCCCTCAATCCAGACAATACCTATAAGAAGAGTCCGCAGAGCAGAGAAAACCTATTGTCGTGAACATGCAAAACATGGGTCAGAGAACTGAGCGTGGATGCCGGCAATTAGAGCTCGAGCACAGAACAATACAGAAAGCAAAAGCAGACCGAGTGAGAAAAAACCAAGAGCGAGATGAACAAGCTGATAAACTGAGGAGAGGAACCGCAGGGAAGCGAAGGACTTACTGGGGTCCCTGACGGTGCCATGGACGGTGTAGCCCTTGGAGAGGAGAATCTTGACGACCCACGAAGCAAGAAAGCCCCCAGCTCCCGTCACGCACAATTTCCCCTCCGCCATCGCCGTCCCCTCTCTCTCTCTCTCTCTCTCTCTCTCTCTCTCCACACACAAAGACACTCGAGCTCGAAGGCTCTAATGGGTCTGCAGTGCGGTCTTCTTCTTGCGCCACCGAGGATTGACACCAAAGTTTCTTGCAAATTCTTTTATTGCATCCGCTTGGACGCTAAGCTACACCGTTGCGTATCGGACGTTGACCGGACAAGAGTCAGGCCGAACAGAGTCGTATAATACGATTGTTGTCACCTGTCGTGCGCGGCGTCGGGGATGATCTCGACGAGGCCGCGTCAAGACGACAGGGACAGAGGCCCCCCCCCCCCCCCATCACCGTCCTGGGCTTCACCTTCTTCTCTCTTCTTCAGTATGCTTTTGCTACTTGGCCTGGGCCTGAAATTAGGACCCCTCGTTCGGATTCTAAATTCTTGCTACTCTCGAGATTCCGGGCCTCGACTTGATTGCCCCTAACCGTACCTTCTCATCCACTAGCAGTTACGATCCGTGGGATATCTTCCGATTCAGTCCTCACTTCCACATTCTTTTTTCGTGATGCCGCGATCGATCACTGCATACCAATAACCGCTATAATCGATCGTCTTTCAAGGCTTTCATCGGTTACCTAATTGACTAATTAGTTACCGTATGTCCATTATCGGTCTTCACTGATCAACAGCCACCTGCGCTAGTCGCCGATTCGTAATACCACTTCCCAGATGTCCCGTCGACAACTTAACATGGACCCCCCCCACCGATCGATCGAGACTCGAGTTATTTTCAGGTGTCAACACTTTCCCATTCAAAATTCAAACCGAGTGATTGCACTCGCGCTCCTTGTAAAAAGCACGAAACACGCAATGCAATGGCTTTTTGTGTCGAGGTTGATTGAAGCATATCCCCATTCGGTTCGTGACTAGGGACGCGATGAAAGCAACACCAAAGGCAAACAGAAAAGAAACGACGAGACATGCGACGGTTGTGGAGGCCCCATGTCCGATGCTGACCATAGTGGAGCCTCCTCTTTGAGTTGCTGGCTAATCGGTTCTTTCCTTGGTCCCCCGATTTGTTCGTGCATTTTCAATTTGAGATAAGATCGCGCAATCGCCCCTATTAGGTGCATGGTTCATCATATGGTCGATCAGGTGGATCGTGCCAAACGGAGAATCTAAACACAGATTTGCCGATAATTTGATGTTGTTATTGAAAGATTCTCCGATTAAAAGACTAGAACATCAACTAGCGAGAGCATGTTAGCGAGAGTACAATAACATGCTCTCGTCGGTGTGGAATTCTAGTAGTGGGTACGACACAGCTGTCCGCACGCGTCGTGCTCTATTTACATTTTAATTGCATACATAGCTATAACTATGCTCTTTTTGTTTGGAAGAAGAACGGTGATGCAGAGAAAATTATACACAAGTAATGACTCTATGCACTCTGGGTTGAAAAAATTATAATAACCTGCTCTCTCAAATTCTTTTTTTCTCCTTCTTAGTTTTTGTATTGATTGTGTATGCTGTAATTAGGGTTAGTACCACGAAAAATCTCAAACCGGTACACCGGTGACAAATTTAGTCGAGACCGATTTTTTTTACTAAAAAAAACCCTCGAATCGGTACATCCGTAACAAATTCACCCTAAATTACTTTCCGTTAAATTTAACTATTAAATTGTTGAGTTTGATGACATGTTACACTTGTAGGTGTATCGATTTGGAGTTTTATCTTTCGTTTATTGTCAATGTGTGGTTTTTCGTGATATTAATATAATTTAATGAAAATTAATAGAGCATAATTTTATCACAAATATATCAATTTAAAATTTTTTGTGATCAAAATATAAATTTAAAATAAATTTATTATTAATATATTAATTTAAAGTTTTTCGACATTAAGCTTGTAATTACTTTTCGTTGGGTTGGTAAAAGCGGTGAGGACGTGGTCTAGGATCCCGTCAATTGCATCGAAAGCGAAAGAGTGCTTGCTCTTTCTAGAAAAATCAAAAGCAGGCACGTCGGGATCTCGAATTTTCTGGCATTGATTTCTTGATTGACATCTCGCACCCATTAACCAAAAGTCAAGAGTTGATTAGAGAGCCCCTTTGGCTATTTTCCTTTTTAAAACGAAGAAATTACAAAAATAAAACGTAAACCTATTAAATTATTCAATTCTAAACATTTTATATGTGCAAATCGAGTTATGAAATTTTCATTTATGCCAATTGAATCTATCCGCTCAATTTTAGCCGAAAAGTGAATGCCAGTAGCGCCATATAAGATGGCCAGCACTAACATAAAACAACTTTTATAATTTTTTATGAATAAATTTTCATTTTTTCCTTTTTTCTTTCTTTTTTTTTTCTGTTTTTCCTACCAAGTTCGGCGAGGGCCGCGACCCTTGCTCGCGACTGGCGAGGATCTAGCGGCCCTCGGCTGTGACCAGCAAGGGTTGGCCTATGACTCTCATTGGGCTTGGTAGAAAAAAATCAGAAAAAAAAAATCAGAATTTTTTTAAAAAATTATTAACATCAGCGCCGGTCGTGCTCTGTAAGACGGCCGGCGTCCGTGTTAGCGATTCCGATTAAAATTGGCTGAATTTACTCAATTGGCATAATTGAAAGATTTGGGATTGAATTGGCACAAGTGAAATAGGTTTATGATTTTTTGGTAATTTCCCCTTTTAAAGACTATAGTAACCGAGGAAGTAAAAGTGCGGGAATCATTTTTTATTAAGGGTTCATTTATTTGAAGGAAAATTAGTTTCCGACTTTTCGGTAATCGGATAATGGAAAATGTTTTACATCGAGCAAAAACAACAATTTTAGACTGGGGAAAAGAACTTCCCTCTCTGGCAATAGAAAAATCGCTTTTCCTAAATCACATAACAAATGAAAACTAACCATTTATCTTGATAATAATTTTCATGGAAAACGTTTTTCTTTTTATGAAGTTTCGGTGCGTGTTTATTTCGGGAAAAATTTCATGATAAATGAAAGTAGTTTTTGAGAAATCATTTTCCAGTAAAACATTTTTCCCCTTTTTAGGTTAGGAAATTCGTTTTTCCTAACTTTAAGCATGTATATTTTCTTTGACAATAAATGGCTTTAACCAAATGTGTGAAATTCCATAAAACTAATTCGTGGAAAAATCCTTCATTTCCCCAACTTGCCAAGCAAGTGCACCTTGTGCTTAAAGGTAACGGATCCTTAAACTCATTCATCAGTCATATGAGCATTAATAATTTCTCATCCACAGTTTTATTTTCTAATAATTAAAAGCTTTTCTATTTTGCAACAAGTCCTAAAAAATCCGCGAAAAATTCGCGCCATCGCAATTCTTTGCTCCCTCTTTTAACTCGTGCATCTAAAAATATTTCATTGTTTTTGCGGGCACATAAAGTTGATTGTTAGCAATTGCATGTCTCCCATGAAATTTTACCAATTATTCAGTAAGTAAAATTTCGTTATTTTCGCCATTTCAACTTTTAAGTGTTGGGTACGCCTGTTCGTGCCTCGACCGACGGTTAATTTTTTGGAAGTCCACGAATTAGATCATATGGTCCTTCTCATATGCTGTGGACTTTCCTTTCCATTGGGATATTTGTATGTTATGCTATGCTCCTTTTGCCTCCATTTTCATGCCACCTTCGACTTTATTTTTCGGAGTGCTCCAATATAGCTCTTACCAAAAAAGAAATTCTGTATGTCAGCTTTCGAATCCTTAATGTGAAATAACACGACTCGGTTACGATGAGTTAAAAATACCATTAGAAATTTATCTTGAGTATATTTTATTTTGGAATATGACGACGTGAATTGATATGGAAAATCGACAGGATATTCGGGGTGACGTAAGCGACAAATAAATGAGAACTCGCCTGACAAGAGAATTCACAAGAGAAGTCAATATCTAATGATCATTGTTTTGTTTGTACCCATTAATAGGGAGTAAAAATTAAAGAAAATAACACCTACGTTTATGAATTTGACGTGCCAACGATTTCATACCATATATTTAACTATATTAGACCCGGTTATTATTGCTCGACAAACAGTGATTACCAATTTTTTGTAAATTATATACACAAGTATATTTTACTATTTTATACATATATTAATGATTTTTACCAGAAAAAAAGCATTCGTTTCGTAAATTCAGAAAATATACGAAAAATATTTGAATTGTATATCTAAAAATGCAAGTAATTTCCCTTTACTATATTACTAATGCAAGTAATATAGTTTCTCATTTTTTTTAATTTTTTTAATTTTTTTTTTGGTTTATCGTGTTTTTTTTTAATGTTTTCATGCCCGCGTATAAAATTCAACCTCCCGAAAGCCCAAAACGCTCCGTGACTCCCTCTCCTTCGTTCACTCGCTCCAGCTCAGTGGTAGCGAAACTTCCTTCCACCGCCGGATTCCCGGATGGACGCCCGCCGGCGGCCGCCGAAGCCACCGCTCCCCTCCGCCGCGCGCGGCGGCCCGAGCCACCGCGGCGACGAGGGAGGCTCCGCCTCGTCGTCCCGCCCCCTCGAGCCGCCGAGAGCATCGGACGCTCTCCCGCTCCCTCTGTACCTGACCAACGCGGTGTTCTTCACCCTCTTCTTCTCCGTCGCCTACTACCTCCTCCACCGGTGGCGCGACAAGATCCACGACTCCGTCCCCCTCCACGTCGTCACCCTCCCGGAGATCGCCGCCATCGTCTCCCTCGTCGCCTCCTTCATCTACCTCCTCGGCTTCTTCGGCATCGACTTCGTCCAGTCCTTCATCGCCCGCGCCTCCCACGACGCGTGGGAGGACCTCGACGACGACGTCAGCCGCGGCTTCGTCTGTACGGACATTGCGGCTCCGCTTCCGAAATCGGTCGATCCGGAGCCGGCGATTTCGGCTTTGTCCTGTGCCGAAGACGAGGAGATCGTCAAATCCGTCGTGGACGGTACGATTCCTTCGTATTCGCTAGAATCTAAGCTCAGCGACTGCAGAAGAGCGGCTTTCGTTCGGCGTGAGGCTTTGCAGAGAACGACTGGGAGGTCGCTCACTGATCTGCCCCTAGAAGGATTCGATTACGAGTCGATTTTGGGGCAATGCTGTGAACTGCCGGTCGGATACGTGCAGATTCCGGTCGGAGTTGCAGGACCATTGTTGCTCGATGGATTCAAGTATCATGTGCCCATGGCTACCACCGAAGGTTGCTTGGTGGCGAGTACGAACAGAGGCTGCAAGGCGATTTACGCGTCTGGCGGAGCGAGGAGCGTGCTGTTAAGAGACGGCATGACGAGAGCGCCCGTTGTGAGGTTCGGTGATGTGAAGAGAGCCTCGGAATTGAAGTTCTTCTTGGAGGATCCGGTCAATTTTGATACCTTGGAACTTGTGTTTAACAGGTCAGCTCATGGCTAGTTACTTCTGATTTGCTTAAATTTTTTGGCGGTCTTTCGTGCTTCAGAAATTGAGTTCTATGTCTAGTGTCTACAGTTGTGTGCTATGTATGTCTTGTCATTCTTTTATCGACTGTCCCTAGGTTGACTGACATTACTAGGTGAGTCTGCTTCTTTCAATTATGATAGTGACGAGAATCTGTTCTTGCTATCCGAGATTTTGTATTCATAACTGTTTAATATGGAGAGGGAAATCTGAGAATCATCAAACTAGTATATGACTTTCTGTTTATCGAATTTGGGATATAATCTGGACATTCTTTTGATGTAACCCATGATTTTATGATGCTTCCTTAGATAGAGGCTTGCCGTTCTATCAAATTCGACACGGTTAAGTGTGTCCTATTAGGAGAAAGCATTTCTAAATATTGCCATGTAAGGGCTTCCTTTCATGATTCTGTTTTTTTTTTTTTTTTTTGGGTGGCAGATCGAGTAGGTTTGCGAGGCTTCAGAGTATAAAGTGCTCTATTGCCGGGAAGAATCTATATATGAGGTTCAGTTGCAGCACTGGTGATGCGATGGGGATGAACATGGTCTCCAAAGGGGTTCAGAATGTCCTGGACTTCCTTCAAAATGATTTCCCAGATATGGACGTTATTGGCATCTCTGGTAAACTTCGTTTGCTCCATAGTATTTTTTTGGCATTTTCATGGACCATTTACCCCCATGTTTGCATCGGGGCTAATTTTTTCTATAAATTTGTAATTCCCAAGTTTTTTTTTTCTGGTTTTTCTTGATTTCCATACTTTCCTTGAAATACCAAACTAGGCCTAGAGAGTTAGTTATTTTTGTGTAATCATTTTCTTCTATTTGCTGGATAGTTTCTACATCGATGTTACTTCCATTCAGTGAGCTGGCGTGGAGCATCATTCTATATCTCATTAGTAAGCCCCATGTGCACATGGTTGACAGTTGACAAATGGGATTTCTTGTCTCTACATGTCAAAGTATGTCCCATAATTCATGATTATCTTCTCAATCATGAAATAGATATGGTTCCATCTTGATCTCTTGATTTCACGATGAATTGTGCCTAATGTGGTCCATTTTATTTAATTTATCTTTTCTTATAATCTTCCTGTTGCTCTTGTCCTGGCAGTGCATGCGGGCTTTCGCTCCTCCTTATAATATTTATGGCATATTAATCCATCTTCCTTTGGCTGTCTCTGAGTAGATCATGCCTGTATGTGAAGTTAAATCAGTGATGGCATTTTAAATTCAAGGGCGGTGTTACTGTTTAAGGTCTCAATTGTATACGTTTCTCTCCTTGATGAAATAATTCAATGTTACTGGCATCATTAAGGAAAATGACATGAAGGAATATTTGTCAAGTTACTACGTGACTTTGTCCTTTCTGTTTATTATCCTTTCAAGCAGCTATATGCTTGTGAAAGGAAAGAAAAATCTTTCTTGGAGCTTTCATTCTTGCAACTCCTCTTGCCTCCCCTTCCGTCCTTTCAATTTGAAAGTGTGCTATCGTTGTTAATTTCTCCAATCTGTTGCTTTCGTACTTGTAACTTTCAACAGAAGTAGTAGTACTTTTGCTGCCAAATCAGCACCTTTGTGGTTCTTCCTCGCCTTTAACGATCAACTGTGGCAGGAAACTTCTGTTCTGACAAGAAACCGGCTGCTGTGAACTGGATTGAAGGCCGGGGAAAATCAGTAGTTTGTGAAGCTCTAATAAAGGAAGATGTGGTGAAGCAGGTGCTGAAAACCAATGTAGCTGCCCTTGTAGAACTCAACATGCTTAAGAATCTCACTGGATCCGCAGTTGCTGGTGCTCTTGGTGGTTTTAATGCCCATGCAAGCAACATAGTCTCTGCAATATTTATAGCAACTGGACAGGATCCAGCTCAGAATGTCGAGAGTTCTCATTGCATCACCATGATGGAAGCTGTTAACGAGGGAAGGGATCTTCATGTATCTGTCACCATGCCTTCCATAGAGGTAGTTGAATGTCTCTCCAATATAGTTTATCCTTTCCGTTTCTATATTCGGGAACTTTGAAATGCACCCTCTTGTTTTCAGCAGAGTCACATGGGAAACTAGTTTGTATTCGAAATTTTCATTTTTGCTCTGTTTAGCAAGTATTGATTATTCCCTTTTTTGTACTTTACCATGCACTTAGTGGACTGATTGTAACGTTGTACATTTTTTTCTATATGGAAATTTAACTAAAGTGCCAGGGCGGTATTATAGTCCTTCCTTATATTTGACAATCTTAGATGCTTGTCCTTACAGGTTGGCACTGTTGGAGGTGGTACTCAGCTTGCATCTCAGTCTGCTTGCCTGAACATGCTCGGCGTCAGGGGTGCAAACAAAGAGTTCCCTGGAGCTAATGCGAGGCTCCTGGCGACCATCATAGCCGGTTCAGTTCTTGTGGGGGAGCTTTCTCTGCTGTCCGCCATCGCAGCTGGGCAGCTCGTCAAGAGCCACATGAAGTACAACAGATCGAGCAGGGATGTCACCAAAGTTTGTTGATATAGACAAAAGATCTTTAATGGCCCCAAATCAAAATAGGGAATGAGATGAAAGAAAGTCACGGAGCTGCGCCCATGTGAGATGATTCCAGGTCATAGATGCGACTTGACATGGCGGGTTCAATTATACCAACCTCTCTCCTGCCCCGCTGTGTCCTTGGGTCGTTACTGCATTTTCTTGTGACCTTGTTCTCTCTGTGACCACCAAGGTTTGTTTGATCTCATTATTCCCTGATTGCCATTTGTCGACGTCGTTGTTGTTAGTTTGTCTGGGTTTGTGTTGTATATAAACTGGGGACCAAAGGCATCCTCTAGACCGTGGATCTGTTGATCGTTTGTAACCTGGGACCAGACCGCGTAATGGTCCTAGCAGCTTTATAATTTCCTTCTCGTCATCGTCTTCTAGAGATTGAGATGTCCAGGCCAGTTTATATTATCAACGATTATTTCTTATTTAATATTTCATTTGTTCTCTACTTTAGTTCTCCATTTTTGCAGGAATAGAGATAAGGGACCAGGTCATCCATTACGTATTCAAAACGATGATGAACCTGCGATTGTTTCTGACTGGGAACTGGGTTCATCTTATTAATAGATCGGAGCATCTGTCTCGGTGAAAGTTTTCCGTTTGGTCTTTTCTTTCTTTTGTCCAAATGCTTCTAATTATGAAGCACCAAACGTGGAAGTGACCATGGGGTCGATATACCTAAATATCTACATGGACGCGGTCGATTTTAGTGCAATTCTCGACTAAGCACAATCCGCTCACGAATTTATCCTTGGGGAGCCCAAAAAGCATTTATGAAATATTGAACTAGACTATCGCATCACGAACATAAATGCGAATTGCCATGCTAATTCATATTTTTTCACTAGGATCACGTATTATTTAATTTAATCTAATCAAACCAATAAGATGTAAGGCGTAAGGCGATCTTTCCTTATTTTCTCGTCGAAGCTCACAAAAAGTTTCGAAATTTTTTTTTGGATCACGCATCCGCATCAAAGCGTACAAGTAAATTTTCCTCGTCTCTCTCGAACATTAGTAGAGTCAGTCGTCAGGAAACAAGTTTTTCTAGAGCACTTGTTTTTGCCCTCCTGGCGTAACATACACAAAATTGGGATTTTGGTTCGAATTGCATTCCACCGAGTCCCTCTGGTCAGTGAACGGGACACGTAACAGCCAAACTGAACTCAATCCGTACTTTCCATGTCGGGCCGGCGGCGTCGCGAGCGGCGTTGCTCCGCTCGGTGAACTCCTCTTCATCCCCTCCTCTCCTCTTGGCTTTCGAATCGCGACTCCGCCTCTCTTTGGCTTCGCCCGGCTATTTCGATTTTCCCCTCTTTTTCCATAACTGGCCATATAAATTCCAAAACCCTAGACAGAGAGAGAGAGAGAGAGAGAGAGAGAGAGATCTCACTCACAATGGCGAGCAGCTGGAGGAGAACGGTGGGGAACGTGAGGTCGTTCGTGAGCAACGCGACGGGCGGTCTCAGGGGCGGTGCCAACCTCGCCTCCTGGGTCGTCGCCGGAACCCTGGCCTACGTCCTCTGGGTCAAGCCATCTCGCGACCTCAAGCGCGAGCAAGAGGTTACTAGTCCTAACTTTCTGTACTCATTTCTGTCGGAGCTGTTCCCTCGATCGTTTGGCTTTTGTCGGATGTTGGAGAGGTGGTTTTTTTTCTTTTTTTTTTGAGTTTTCTAGTGTGTTCTTGTCGCGGTCGCAGGAGAGGGCGGCCATTGCGGGTTCGGACCCTTACAAGTTCGTCGATCGCACCCGGCCGATAGGTGACCCACAGGTTAGTGGTAGGTAATTTGCTTTCGATCGGTTTTAGTTGGCTTGCTATGTCGTCATTTGCTAGTGCGGATCGGTTAGTATCGTCTGCTGATGCTGATTATCGGGTCCATCCGCAGCAAAATGGTTTGATTTACGGCAGCAAGAACAGAACTGAAAAGCCGAAGGAATAGCTGGATATACAATGTATGTGTAAGTCCAAACTCTCTTATTGGGTTGTGGTTAAATGTCTTTGGATTGAAGTTTTGATGTTTGTCTGTTCTTCTCTTGATTATTCTTTGATGCTGTTGGGCATGCTGTTTGAAAATGTGACGACTTCTGCATCAACCTGTTGAGGTTACTGTCTTCTGAATCATGTCAATAACGGATGCTTAAAACTTGCATACTTGAGAAAGAAGTCCCCTGGTGTGCTTAGTTTGGCCAAAAAATAGCGTGTCTTTCCCCTAATTCCTTCCCTTATTTTTCATTTACAAGGGTTAATGCACAATTGCCGCTGTCTGTTGTGCAAGTTTATTGAGGGATTAGTTGTTGTTGGGAGGTGCTACCATGTGCATTGCGATGACGTCATACGATTATTCATTAGGAAGATCATCAGTTTCTTTACCATGCAAGCTTGGTTGTCGTTAATAACTTGCCATGTTGATGCCCGGCAGACACCGTGAACTTGGTTTATGGTTCTCCAAATCCATGATTTAGTACTCATTCATGCAAACAAATTTGCTTTGATAACATTTATTGTTTTATAACTCTGGTATGGGATCTTTACTTTCAGACTCTAAAGGCTCCCTGCGTCGATAAATCTAGTGGTAACAATGACGTCATAGGATTATTCATTAAAAAATTATCATTTTTTTAACCATGCAAGCTTGGTTATTGTTAATAACTTGTGGTGGTTTGCCCGGCAGATATCGTTTAGCCTAATTTATGGTGCTACTCATTTATCCAATCAAACATGTTTTAATAACAATTATTGTGTTATAGCTCTGGTATGGGGATCTTTAATTTTCAAACTCTAAAGGTTCCCTGCGTCGGAAAATTGATTGGTGTGCAATAAGTATTTTGGTATGTAGGTGTCGGAAGGAGGAAATCTCGTGAAGGATCTTTGAGATGTCTTCTGGATGATATGTCATTTAGATGAAAACTAGAGAGTGTTTGGTTTCACTAGAAATAGATTATCTTCGGAGAATTGTTCATTTGAATACGAAAAACCAGATCGGTTCACTAAAAGTAAAAAACTGTTTTTCCTTTATCAAAGTATATTCCTTCTCTGATGTCGAATTTTGGTGGGAAACGTATAATAAGTATCTGAATTATTAATGGATTATTCTATCATTCTCACGAAAGAGGTTTGTGGTCCAGTGGCATTAGTTGTTTGGTCACATATCTTCAATAATCATGGGTTAGAAATGAAAGGAGTGTAGTGCAAGAAATCTGTTCATTCTCGGCGATGAGATCTTTTTTTGATATATGGAAGTTGAGCAGCCAATGGAGTTAACACACAGTCCAGTTTTGGCATTAAATTTGTAGTCATAGATGTTTGGAATCTGAGACACTTTACAGATGCTATGCGATATTGTGATGCTATGTTAGAGTGGTAGGGGTGGTGAGTGAGAATTTTATCAGGGGTATTCTGCATGAGACTGGCCTGTGTCATTTATATGTAGTTAATTCTCTCTGTCATTAAAAATAACCCTCTTTTTGGCTGTCATAGATCTGTTTTCAGCTTTTGCCCGGTGTTATTTACATGCTGTTAATTTTCTCTTTTTGTTACCAATCATCATTTCTTTTGAAACCCCTTGGGTTCCTGAGGTAGATTACCATGGTAACGAGTGGTTTCGTATTCACTGGTGACTTTCACTGAATTTACTGCGAGGCCTCAGCTTTTATGCCAATTTACTTCTAGTATTGATGTCTTTGCATTAATATAAGCTGCGGTTTTGTGTGTTTATATTATTTTATGTTATTCGAAGCTCGGGTTCCGGCAAAAAGGGATGAAGGTCTTGTTGTTAATGTCGTCACTGTTGACCCTTAACAGTCAACAACTAGCTTACTGCTATAGGAAATGTCTATTTGGGCAATTTTTAAGATTGATATTACTTACATGCTTATGTTCCAACCCTCTCAACTATCAAAAAAATTTCGAACAAATAAATTCGTAGCAGCAGCGATAATTTAGAGAAACTCTTGGCCTTTTTTTATCATCATTGCTAGTGCTGTTTCAATTGTTATGGGTGCATTGGGGAATCCATTGTTAGAATATCATGTATGAAGAATGAGATGGAAGTGATTTGATTCTTTTGTGGTGATATGGAATTCTGATTATCTTAAGATGAGATGTTTTAGCCTTGATTTGCTTATGACTTCTTCCACCTTCAGCCACCTGCATTTGCTTGGAACTCATATGTAGCTTGTCTCTAAATTGTATTGCAAACTAGCGTTGTATATTTAAATAAATTAGCTCTGGCACAAATGGAGTTGATCTAAAGGTCCTTGGCTTGGCACATTTACTTCTTGCTTGATGATAATGCCTTACCCTAGAGCATGTCATCTTTACTACTGAGCAATCACTCGGATATCTAAATGTTTTGAAGTTCGTGGCTCTGAGCGGCAGGTACATGTCTGTTAGGATAACCCTTATCAAGATAATGTCATGATATGTGTCTATTCCTTTCCTAGATTGTCTGGATGGTTTATACCCTGTCGTAGTGTCAGATTAGATCACATCTAATGTCATTCATGAGTGAATCGGTCTGGTATAATGATTGGGATTATGCTGTCATGATGAGTTCTGAAGTTCAGAAACCTGTTTTTTGCTCTATTATGCTGTCATGTTGAGTTCTTGCTGATCAGTGATTTATCATTAGCTGGCGTGGCCTTTTTTTTGTCTTGGGTATCATGATCTCTCTTTATCAATTCAATGTCTCGCGAACTCTCTTGACATGAGTTTTTTCTTCTGTTCTTCCACAGGGAGGGTGCTCTCCTTTGCCCTTTGTCTCTATTTTGAAGATCCCTATCGGCACCCAGATCCCAGGATGACGAATAAGGAATGAATAAAAACTTACCATCAAATAATAATGTACATGACTTCGGAAGAATTTTGCAGGGCGAGTGATGGTTATATACATATACAGTGTTTTACCATATATTCTTAGAAAGACTCTCTCTCTCGGGATTTTTTAAATATTTTTTTTATTCTTGTATTTTCTTTTCGGCTATATATACCTTTCGCGAATTTCACTCAAAGGAACCAAACGAGAGAGGGGGGGACGTCATCTTATCGTAGCTTGTCGAAGCTTTTGGATCTGATTGGACATGGGGGTGTGCGGGGGGCTGCACCGAACGGCGCCCATGACACGTTCACGTGGGCGGATGGGCCCGGACCGCCTCGGGCCCGAATCCACGGTATTCGATGCTTTCCTCCCTCCACGTTTTCCTCCTTTAATTGGCCCTTGTCCCCAGCCACTTGCTTGTCCAAGTTGGACCGGCTTTTGCCCCAACGTGAGCTCGCCCTCTCCTCTCTCGCCACGTGTTGTCCCTGTCCTCCCCGGTGGGGTCGCCAGCCTTCCGCTAGATCGGAGAATGAAAATCGACCGGAACGACGAAAACGGGTGCGCGGAACGATCTCGTTACCGAAATCGAATCCGCTCTTTTCCAATTTGAGATCAGTAGAACGATCTCGATAGTCCAGTTTTTCTAGGCTTCCATGAGCATCTTAGACGGCCCTGATATTGTCTTTGAGCAAACGCCATCGGCATGTGCCTACGGACTAATCTTGTCACCTTTTTTCTTGTGTGAAGTAAAAAGAGCGGCCGACGCAAAGACTTGTGGACAGCAACTCCCCGTTCATGATTGTCCCGCTTTGCATATTCAGCGAATGTAGAGAGAAGGCGACCACCCTGATATCCCACTAGCTTGAGTAATGCCAATCACGAGATTAGGTAAGGGTCAACCCAGAAAATTCAGAAAAAAGGGAAGAAGAAAGTATTAAACCCCGTTTTATCCGAAGTGAATGGCTGGTGTTTGTCAAGGCGATGGCGACTGATGGAGATTTGTGGTAGAAATGTGACAAGTTTAACTGGGGGTCGGTGTAGACCATTTGGCCCCTGGTTCGTGGGGCCCTCTCCTCCTTTTTCAATAAAGAAACTAATGATAATAATAATTTAATAAAGCCCCCCCCCCCCCCCCCCCCCTCTCAACTTAATCATATTCTTTGTTTTAATCGATAACTAGGGGTGGGCTAATGGAGCTTAGCGACCTTTCGCAAGCTTACATTATTTGGTTTGTGGTCCCCCCTCGTCAGGGAGTGGTGACTTTTTCTTTATGGGGGGCCGATGCCCCACTGAAATTCCCCGCAATATGATATTACCGTGAAATCCCATCCGCCCATTTATTTAAGGGCCAAAAGATGGCCTCGGATGGTCACGATGAAACGGAATCTCTTTTATAATGCTCGCTGTACGAAGGCAGATTAAAATAACCCCATGACTTAAGAGCACCATCACTGCCCCCTCTATTCTCTTTGCAATGGACATATCCCATTTGAATTAGATTCGCACACATTCAGTACAGCACCTTCTATTAGCGAAACCGGTTGGTTTTCCTATCTGTACGGCGAGTTTCCAACTACCCAACGATTGCAAAGACGCTGTTAGCGTCCCGAATATTTTGGTATAGAAGATGTAGTCGAGATTACAACGTATGCTCCTGTTTCGCCGGAAATGTCCCCGCGACGAAATATAATTCACCGAACGCTCGTTCTTCGGCTTTTAATGAGAGGAGGCCGGGTTCCGTGGCGACTCCGGACAGGAAATATCCAGGCGGACAAGAAATTACTGCGAACTTTTACTTCGAACTTTGAACCGGACTGTACGTACAAACCGTGCCGAAATTTAATCGACGACAGAGCTTGAATATACAGCCACACATGTACACAAAGATGTAACGCCGGAATTTAATCGACGACGTAACACCCGGGATAGAGATACACGCCAAAATTTAATCGACGGCGTGAATCGGAAAGCTACAGCTAAGGAAAAGTAAAGTGTGGTACAGGAAAGTAAAGATAATTGAAAGATAACATGTTGTTTGATTTGTCAGGGGGCGTCTCCAGTAGATGGCCGGTGATATTTATAATGGTTGTGTGGTAACTGCTTCTTAACAGATTTCAACAGTTGTGCCCATGTTCTTCTATTCCGAAAATCTTGTCTTCATGTCCATGTGATGCCATGATCCTACTTTTAAGATAACTGTCCCACGATCTTGTCTACAAGTGATAACTGCCTCATGATCATGCTTTCAAGGAACTGTTCCCTCAATAAATACATGTATGCTCCTTAGTGGTTTCCAATAGTTACGTTGAGTCCACTATCTTGACGGTTTATTCGACTCCACTACGTTGGCGGTTGCTTCAACCCCACTATGTTGACGATTACTTCTTCGACAGTTGTATTCGAGATTATCGACTCCACTTTTTGTCGATTCTTTCAAGTTAGCAATTCTTCATTGAAGTATTTATTAATTTCCGCATCCTGACCAGTCACGACCGTCGATTTCCTTTTAACTTTGACAACTCTACAGTGATTTTCTGAGAAAACCCAAAACATAAAAGTTGTAGATCCAGGAGTCTTCGTTCTTTTGGCTTTGAAATCAGGTCAATCCGATCTGTCTCGACGAAGTTATGACCATATTCCCGAACTAGCGGAGAACTGAAATTTTCGCATCCTGACCAGTCACGACCGTCGACTTCCTTTTAACGTCGACAGCTCTACAGTGATTTTCTGAGAAAACTCAAAACATAAAAGTTGTAGGTCCAGGAATATTCGTTCTTTTGGATTTGGACCCAGGTCAATCCGATTTGTGTCGACTAAGTTATGACCATTTTCCCGAACTAGCACAGAACTGAAATTTTCGCATCCTGACCCGTCACGACCATCAACTTCCTTTTAACGTCGACAGCTGTACAGTGATTTAATGAGAAAACTCAAAACAGAAAAGTTGTAGGTCGAGGAGTCTTCGTTCTTTTGGCTTTGGACCCAGGTCAATCCGATTAGTGTCAACTAAGTTATGACCATTTTCCCGAATTGGCGCAGAACTGAAATTTCTGCTCGTTTTCCCGTTCTTGTCGATAATACCCAAAAATTGGTCATCTTTGGGCGTAAACATATACACATGACACATGTCTCTGTCATGTGTCCCTTGATGATTTTTGGTTCAAACACTCATTGACCACAACTAAACCATCATTGATGCACTAAATGGATATCACTTTCTACAATCGTTGACGACAGGAAGCGTAATTCATGCCTCTGTCATGTATTTCCCATGTTGACAAGCTGGCCATTTTTTGGTGTCGACAACTCCACGTCCTAATTATTATTGGCCGCTACATAAGTAGTCGACTTCACATGCATTCATTAACAACTTGCGTTAAGTTAATTGCGCGTCTTGAGATATCATATATCACTCGATGTTTTCCCGTTAATCATTATTAATTTGCTAATCACCGTATTTTAAAGTTCAAGGGCGTGATTAAATTAAGAACTAGATGTTAGATACTAGGAAACTTGATTGGCTGTAAACCTCAGAAGAAGAACAGTGGTCAGATATAAGTAACTGTGAGTATAATCATTTGTACATATATATCATGATAAGTGCATAAACAATATCATTGTGTCGATCTCACCTGAACTACTCCTTATCTAATCCAGTGGAATTTAATAAAGACCGATTCACGGTTCTTTCTCCTAAATTAATACACATTAGTTGTTATAATGAACATACTTGAGGTGGCCCAGTTTTCTGCCTAAAATAATAACAACTCCTAAGGATATGTTTTATTGTCAATGAGGGTTTTCCGGTGGCAAGGGAGCTTTTTGGAGTTACATTGGCATTTGTTTTATTAAGGAAAAATGACACAAATGATCCTTGAACTTTGGTTCAACGTGCAATATCGTCCATAGTGTTTTAATTTGTTTAATGCGGTCCCTGAACTATGGCCCAACGTGCAATATCGTCCCTGGACTTTTAATTTGTTCAATGTGGTCCTTAAACTATTGGTAAATGTTTAATCTAGTCCCTCGACTATATGAAGATGTTTATCGTCAATCCAGGTGAACGAAATCAACCGTGTGGCTTCCAATCCCCGGTGGACCGAAAAAAACAAGTTAGACGTGGATTGTCCACGTGAAATATTCATCTCAAATGAGTAAAAAGTAATTTCCATGAGGAATATTCGAAGTCCCTAATTTGTTTCTTTCCCTTTCTAAAGTAGATGCTGACATTACATGCCATTAATTCAAGTTAACAGAATCTATCGTGTGGCTTCCAATCCCATAGTGGACAAAAATAAAGTTACACATGGATTGTCCACGTGAAATATTCATCTCAAATGAGGAAAAAGAAATTTTTACGTGGAATATTAGATGTCCCCAATTTGTTTCTTTCATTTTCTAACGCAGATGGATAAAAGGATGGACATATTCATTAATCATTTTTAAAAATCCGACTCGATACACAATAATCTAAGTCATCAAATAAAGTTTGATTCGTCATTCGAGTAAGTAGAAGGACTACCTTGAATATCTATCAATAGTTCACGAACTATCTTGAACAAATTAAAAATTAAAGGACGACCGTTGCGTGTTGGATCACAATTCAGAAATCACCATTCGTGTTATCATCCTTTTTACTATCGACCATAGCTTCCACGCACGTGCCCGTCTTTTTCTTTTGTCCGGTCACGAATTTTCCAACCAATAATGCAAAGACAGCACTAAACCACTGATTTTTCTCCCTAAACCACCATCAAAACCGCTCAAGATTATTGAGGAAGAGACACCGTGACTTTCCTTAACTGGATAAAACCAAATCGAGATCTTCATTCTCATAGAGATCGAGCTCAGCAAGATCTTTTACTTTGAATAAAACTAGATCATGTCTCTAAAGCCGGTCTCCTGGGTTCTTCAGCTGTCCAAAATTCCTCTGGAAGTGCAGAAATCAAGGGGCGGTTTCGTATGCGAATTGAACGGGATTTGAGAACGGAGGGACCCATCCGTTCGTCGCCAAAACCCCAACATGTGCTTCAAATCTTTTGCTTGGTGTGCAGTGGAGCGAAGGAATGGACGTGCACGATGCTTTCTCTTTTTGAATCGAGCGTTCCCGGGTCGCTGTCGCCGGGTCGAGGGGGACACACACGAGCACA